AGTAGCCAAATAAGAGGTATGAATTTGAATAAAAAGGCCTTAAGTTTTTAGCTGGAATTTTATTATAAAACTGTATACTTTAATAAACTAACAAACAAATTTTAAATTACATTTCTTGATAGCTATAAATATACAGGGTGGAACCTCCTGGAACTCGATTTCCGTGCACCCAGCCCAATATCCGAAAAGTCCATACTCTGATTGGACTGGTAAATGCATTTTATTGGTTATACAGTGTAAAATAATCGAGGTTACTCACATATATTCAATTAATTATACTAAAGTCGTCCTCTACATCCGAGATGTCGGATTCGCTTTCGCTACTCTCCCTTGTGTTCGCGTGTATTATCAATTGGTCTACATCATCTTGCAGGTTGTCCGCAGTCCACATCTCAGTTTTCGTTTTCTCAACAACATGAGTGACATAATTTCGCCAATTTTGCTCTGTGACGCGTGCGAAACCGTCGTCGATCAACTGGCGTACCTCGTCGTTTTTAAAAGTGCCATTATGGGTACCTACATATCGCTTAACTTGGTTCCACACCATTTCTGTAGAATTCAATTCGCAGTGATATGGAGGAAGCCTTAAAATATGAACATTATGTTGTGAAGCATACTCATCAAGATGATACTTATCGTATTGATCTTTAAAAGCACGCACTGCTTCTAATAGCTCGGATTTCAAATAACACTCCTCGAAAAAAATGTCTTTTTCCACTAGCCATTCGTTGATTGCAGCTTTATTCCAGGAATTGTTAGGGAATCTCTCTTTACGGTAGTGGTACGATGCATTGTCCATTACAATGACATTCCTGCGACCATTATTTGGTAAATTTGATATTAATGTCTCCTTAAACCACGACTTAAAATATGCGGCATCCATTTCATCGTGATAGTTGCCATCATTTTTCTTTGCCAGAAAAACACGCTGTGTGCCAGGAAGGAAACCTCCTGAAAAACCTGCATGCAATAAAACATATCGTGGACCTCGTTTAGTAGGTACTTTTAAGCTAGTACTTAAACCTTTGAGAAAAGCATCACGACTGTTTTGTATCGTAGTATCGCACCATTCGTAATTTATTGATTGGCCAACATTAACCTACGATTCGTCCAAATATATGATATTGCAATGGTCTTTTCGCAAACGTTGCATAGTTCTCAAATAATTATGGCACCAATGAATAATATCCTCTCTCTCCACCATGATGCTTTTTCGGCCACGTTTCTTATAAACAAATCCAATATCTTTCAGAAGTCTGTATAAAGCAGAAAGATACAACGGCTGTATATTACCATTACCTTGTATGAAGTTATGTATATGCTTTCAAAATGGCGGCAAATTTTTCATGAAAAATTCACAGTGAACAATTCTTCGTAGTATACTTCTTATACCCTCGTCATATGTGAATATTCTAGAATTTGACTGACACACTCGTTTTTTACGTTTTTTTGGCGATTTCAATGTTCCACTCTGTTCTTTTTCTTTTTTGAAATTGTAAATGCTTCTTTCGCTAACACCAGTCATCAACGAAGTACGTCTTACAGCAGCACTTACATTAAGTTGCTCCGTATTTTGTAAAAAACACAACACATTTAACACTACGAGTTTAGCGCAACCGTTAAATAATTCACCGGATTTAAACTTATGGGACTCCTTGCTCTCTGTTGAAACTCGGACTAAATTTTGAAGTGTAGTTTCGTTTTCCAAAAGCACTTTCACTGAAAAAGGGAAAGCTTGGAGTTTATCAAATACTAATTATGACAAACAAGTTTATGGCCATATTTAGGTGATTATGTTAATGATGGTAATTTGTAGCAGAAGTTTTACAAAAGAAATGAAGACCTATTTATAGAAACAACATAACTGTAATTTTAATATTTTACATATAATAGAAAAAATCTAATTTCTATGAAAGAATTGGAAATTTAAATATTATATCTAATATCTATAAATAATATCATTTCCAAGTTTCCGAATTCTTTCCTAGAAATTATGTAGGTTTGTTCTATTTTATGTAAAACAATAAAACTACAGTTATTGTATGTTGTTCTTGTAAAGAGGTGTTTAAATGTTACTCTTCTGAATATGATTCAATTGTATATCTCATGTTGACGTTTTATATGCAAAATTCATAGTTTTCATTGTCAATAACTCATCAATGCCTTTTTATTCTACTGTATACGTATACATGATATAAAATATTTTACTCGTACTACCGGCAGATGCATTTTATCCAAGCCGGTCCTGTGAAACAATGAGCAATCAACAGCTGGAGAAAACCGACAACCCTGCGCGTTTATTCTCCATAAGAAAAGCATTGCCGTATCTTACCCGTGCTGCACTCTCAGTGTGACATTTTCTAGAGCATAACATTGACAGAGCATTGACAGTGAACGCTCGCATTTAAAATAATGCATTTGTTTTACCTTCTTCTTCTTATGGTGCCTATCCATTACGGATGTTGGACACTAACATGGCTATTCTGACTTTATTGACTGCTGCCCTGAAACGTCCGGTAGTGGTTAAGTTAAACCATTTTTAGGGGTTATGCAGCCAGGATATTTTTCTTCGTCCTGGATCTCTTTTCCCATGCACTTTACCTTGAAGTTTGGTCCGAAGTAGGTCATATCGTTGTTCATTGCGCATTATATGGCCCAGGTTACGACTAGTTCACGCTCTTTACCCATTCTATGTAGTACTTTTTCGTTAGTAACTCTATCTATCCAGGAAATCCTCAACATACGTCTATAACACCACATCTCAAATGCTTCGAGTTTTTTCAGTGATACTTCAGTTAAGGTCCATAACTCCACGGCATATAAAAGAACGGAGAATACGTAGCATTTTAGTAAACGAACTTTTGTTTCCAATTTAATATCGTGGCCGTTGAAGATTTTTTTCATTTTGACGAAAGCTGATCTTGCCTTCTCAATCCTTATCTTAATTTCCTTCGATTGTTCCCACAGGTCATTTAAGTTTGCATCCAAATAACAAAAGTTGGTGATTTGTGTTATAGGTTGTTGGTTAACTAGTAACTGATCAGGTGGTATCCTATTTTTGCTTATAACCCCGTATTTAGTTTTTTTTTATGTTAAAATCAAACCCAAACCTGCTACTTACTTTGCCACCCTGGAGGCAAGTGTCTGCAGACCTTCAAGACTGTCTACAAAAATAACAGTCTCATCAGCGTATCTTATGTTGTTCAATCGTTCTCTGTTTATAAGTATTCCCTCGTCTATGCCCGTTAGCGCTAGGTTCGTAATGTGCTCTGAATATGTATTGAACAATAATGGGGACAATATATATCCCTGTCGCACACCCCTTTTTATCTCTATGCCGTGTGTTAACTGATCTCCAACTCTAACAGCTGCAGTTTGTTCGTAATAAATATTTTTTATTATACGGCAATCGTGTTTTACGTGGAGATCGATAATTAATATGGCACGTTGTGAGCGCCCACTAACGACGTCGAGAGACTTGCACGGATTTGCTTCCGAACTGCGAGACAAATATAATAATACAAATTCAACAAATATTATTTCATATTGAGTTTCCTCTTCATGAAGAAGGCAGGCACTGTGTAATCAATGTATATCACCAGTAATCACCGCCGGCTTACACCGCTCTGTATGCATGCACTTTGGGTATTCACCAAAGAAGAACCGTTCTGGGAGTTCTATCAGAGTATTGATCTGGAAACAACTCCACTGGCCCTAGGGTATTAATCGAAGGCCAACTGTTTCTGCTAGAATATTGATCTAGTAGCTGCTTCCAAAATAAGTCTTAGAGTGTTGATCTAAGACCGAACAATACCGTTCCTAAGTGATGATAAGTCACTTCCTGCTCTTTGTCGGACCGAGTGTTGATCGATCCGTCTACCTCTAACCCAGATTATGCGTTCACCGTGGTGTGCATGTGTGTACTAACACATATCATTTTAGTTTCATTTTAATAACATTAATTGTATTGATGTTTCGCAGTTTTTAACAGCGGATCGAAAAACCGTCATACCTCTGAGGGTATTAATACTTAATTTTTATTGCACGGAAGAAACCAATATTATTTTGTTATTTATTTGAATATATTTTTATTTAAATTAAACCTGTGTTTTACTGAGTCTGGTGCAGTGGCTGATACAGGGGGGATGGTGAAATTCCCCCACCCAAGAAGGTTGAAAATTAAAAGAAACCTATTATTTATATATTAAAGTTGAAAGTTCCGCCTCTAAGAAAAATGTCTAGATTCGCCACTGGCGAATTGGTGTCTAATCCGTTACAGCTTGATAAAAAAGTATAGTTTATGAAATCCTATTTTATAGTTACTATTCCCAAATCCGACAACAATCATCTATAACTCTGCAAAAGATACTGGTCAATATTAATCTAACTTAATCATGATAAGTCGCCTTAGTTACACTTAGTCCGCCAGAAGGATCAACAACTCGAAGTCACTATCTACTCGCATTCCAAGACAGACAAGAATAAAATTGTAAGACCACTGTACTGAAGACAGAGTAGTTAAATATTTGAAACGAACGATCAGTATTTATTTTTCTCCTGTAACGAAGTAAATCAAGTGTTAATGCCTTATCCATATTAAAACCGGTATAACATAACTTATACAATAATTATGACGACTCACCTGACGGACTTATTAGGGAAAGCAAAACGTGTGATGCGTTCGCTGATTATGAACAGAAAGGGTGCGCTCTGCTACCATCGGCGTTCTGTTCGACAAATAGAAAAAAAGTTTGCGCCATTCCTCAGGGATCGTTTGATATAAACAAATTTTACATGAAACGTAATTCAGTTACATAATGAGCGCATAAAAATTATTGCATTCTGAATTAAATATAATAAAAAAATAGGTTCGTTGGATCGTTACATTATAAATAATGGTGTCTAATCAGAAAGTCAAAATAGTTTGTAATAAAGAGTTGCAATTACAATTTGTGGTTTATTTCTAAAAACTAATTAAAACCATGTATTTGCGAACGTACCTTGTCCTGTAGTTCCTTTTTCATAAAGGGCTTAATTATAGCTAATATTTTATCTATGAAAGATACTATGTTAATAAAATGGATGTGCTTGAGGCGAACTGGTAAACCTTCCTAAAAACCGAATAAATTGAATATGCACTCTGGGCCAAAATTAACAGGCCAGCTTAAAAATGGATAATTTTTGGTGTCTTATCTCCTAAACCTGTTGTCCGATTTAAGTGATTTTTTTAATATATCATATCCTTATTCCTTAAAAATATCGATATAATAATATGGTTGCTAAATAGGTTAATTTTCATTGTATACCGGGTGTACGAATTAAACTGCGTTTTTTTTTTAGTTTGCACCACCCTGTGGAATATTTTAGCATTCATAAAATATTGAAATTAAAATCTATAAAACTGTAGCCTCATATTTTCTCAACATTTTGCTTTTTGATTCATTTGCTTATGTTGGATAATACAAAAGTTAGGTAGATTAACAACTAGCCATGTTTTTCATCAATACAGACGATTTAAATCACCAGCAAAATTAACCCCACCACCTTTATTATTGTTTTGTTTAGATTACCTATGGCAGTTTGTTTCCTAAATTTGTGTCATCGAAGGAATTTTGACATATAGTCGTTATACGACATTGTTGTAAATCTATTTCCGTGTTAATAATAATTCTTGAACAATTTGTAATTAAAATTAAATTTATAATTAAAATTAACAATTAAAATTGTAATTTTATATCATTGTGAGCGAATATTGTTTAAGTTGAAATTTTAGTGCTTATCTATTGTTTGTGATTTTAAAAACGCCACTCGTTCCAAGTGATGCTGCTAGGGCAGTGGCTTTAGTTGATGCAGGTTACAGTCAACGTCATATCGCTGGTATAGTCGATGTACACAGAATGAAGGTACAAGATGCCATCAGGCGATTTCGGGAATTAGGATCGTACAACCGCAGGCCAGGTTAATGCCGAAACGATGTAAAATGCAAAATTGCTTTTGCACCACTCCTGAAGCTCGTAGGTCTCTTCTTGAGGTTAGAAACGTTAGTGTAAGTAGTCAAACGATTAGACTGTCAGAAATAAACTTGAGAGTTTTTTTTAGCTCGCGCACCACAACTGCTTCCTCAACACCGTAGGGCTAGACTTCATTTTGCGCGAGAATATGCTAACTGGACTATGGCGGAATGGAAGAATATACTGTTCTCAGATGAGAGCAAGTAGCCCTAAAAGGTCCAGATAGACGCCAACGTGTCTATAGGCGTCAAAATGAAAGGTTTACTGTATGCGCTATAACCGAAACAGTGGCTTACCGAGGAGAGTCAATAATGATTTGGGGAGGTTTTTCTTACTAAGCGCGTACTGATCTTGTTGTGTTCGGTAGAGGCAGTGTGAATGCCCAAGTATACGTGCAAAAAGTTCTCCAAGACCATGTCATGCCTTTTGCACAATTCATTATACGTTGCAACTTCAAAAGACGGGTAAAATCAAGAGTACCAGCCCCTGCATCCTTTGAAGAGCTAAAGACAGCTGCGGTAGAGGAGTGGCACAATATCCACCAATCTGATATCCAGGATATCATGAATGGATTGCCAAACCGCGTCCAAGAAGTCCTAAGGGCTAGAGGTGGCAATACCCATTATTGATACTATTTTCAATTAGACTTTGATTTCCAAAATATTGTTAATTTGAATTTTCTTCGAAGATTTTATTCATTGGATTTTTACTGTAACAAATGACTTTTTTTCAAAGAGATTATTTTTTCTCTTCCGCGGAGATAAAAATTGATAAAAATCATGTCTAGTTGTTAAAGCACCTAACTTTTGTATTATGCAACATAAGCAAATCAATCAAAAAAACAAATGTTGAGAAAGCACGAGGCTATAGTTACGATTTAATTTCAGTATTCTACAAATGTAACAATATTCCACAGGGTGATGCAAACTTTAAGAAAAAAAAAACAGAGTTTGATTCGTACACCCGGTATACAATGAAAATTTACCTGTTTAGCAACAATATTATTATAAATATATTGTCAAGGAATAAGGCTATAACATATTAAAAAAATCATTTTTTTCCATAGCTAATGTTAAAGTGTTGCTATAACAACTGCTTTGTACAACAACAAGAGTAGATAAAATGTTTTAACTTTTTTTTATTCAATAAAATTTACAAATTTAAACACATTAAGGATTAAAAACAACTGAAATTTCACAATTAACATTATTAGAATAGAAATATCTATTTTTGGAGCATCACAACTTGTACTCGTTTGCTTAAACACTTGATTCGAGGTACTGGATTGATTTTCTGTAATATTGTAACTAACTATTTTGCTTACCTCAGAATAAGAACATGGGGTAGAAGATTGGGCAAACAAAATAATCGAAACTAGTGCGTACGGCACTCAAGGGTTTGTTGGAGAGCTGGGTCGTGGATAAGTTAAAATAAAATTGGTCGGATTGGGGTATCTACAAAATGAAAACAAAGGGATACTTACATAAATCTCCTGGGTCAAAAACGAAATAAGATATGGCAGACAAGGTTACCTCTAGCTATTTCTATTTGGACGCCGCTTTGAAGAAAACTTCCTGCTGGGAGAAAGAAAAAATTCTTCTTCCCTAAAATCAAAAATACATACAAGAATTGGGAGACTTTTCTAAATTAAAACACAAAATGGATCAGACAAACAAATAAAACGTTTATTTTTGTCTCAAACAAACAGTTTTCAAAAATACAGATTATACAAGAGCATACTATATAACATAATACAAATTAACAACAACTTACGTGTTATTTTTTTTACAAAAGAGATTGCTACAAAAATTCTTGAAATGGTTCCTAGGTTATAATATGGCCAAATTAGATTATGAAAACTTAAGGATATCCTTTTTATGAAAATACTGTAGAATTTAACCTTATATATGAAATATCTTTTCTATATAATAATCAAATGAAAATTGTTTTACAACAACATTGGACTAGAGAAAAATGTCATATGTCAACATAACATTTTAAGACTGGATAAAATATGTAATTTTTTAGCTACGACTCTAACATAATATAAAACTTTAACTATTACAAATTCTTTTATTTTAATAAAAGCAATTATTAAAAATGTCTATATAACTTGAAAAAAAAAATTAATATATCAATTGTTACCTTATTTTCATATATTGCACTACTTAACTCTAAAAAAAACTTGTTACATCTCTGAGGAAGGTACTTGGACAAATTCTCAAACTGGAAAACAGAAAACCATTTCCATACTCAGGAACGACGATCAAATCAGGTTTGGTGAAGAAGCAAAGCGGACAACGGGGACACCCTATATACTAATTTCATCAGTTTCCGGTATCTATACAAATCTTATCATTATTACTCTGTTTTAAACTGCTATTAATTGCAAAGAGTATTATCACTTTGACCGGTCTTAAAACATTACAAAAAAATGAATCGACTTCCGATTCAAAATCGCCCAAACATATTTATCGTCTTAAATCTGTTGCTTTACTGTCCTATCTTTCCTTAGACTCCTAACTAAACCCAATTCAAATTTCCTTTAAAATTAGGTAAAAATAACACTTATTTTTATTACCTGACAATGTAACATAGAACTGGAGATTTGATTGTAAACACAGATAAAAACATCTATATTTACTTTTGAATCGGTAGAAATACACGTATTATATTGATTATTTTAAGCGGAATAATTTTCTACTTGACAATGTAACAGAAACAAAACATCTATGTGTTTGCCTTATCTCGTCAAAAAAACTTGAAATATTCTAGTTCGAATATCAAAATTTAAAACATAAATTTAACTTCTCCGCTGAAAAATAAAAACAACTTACTACAACTTGAGATAAACAACCAGGGGCGTACTACAAAAATTTAAAACGCTACAATGCCCCTTCTTAAAAGAAAAAACTCGGATAATCTTATCCAGTTTTTGATAAAGGCAAAACAACTAAAACGAAATCAGAAGATGACCTTCTAACTGAGTCAAAACTTCTTAATATCTTTTAGATGATGGCTAGCATGGGATTAAACAACAAAAATAAAGTTAGCTATAAAGAATGGGCTAGCGTGCCATCGATCGCCAGACTCTTTAAAGTCGAGTAGACTGAAATTTTGGGACTCTAAAATGAACTGTAGGTGACATGAGTTTCTATGCCTTAGGGAAAGCTAACCTTATGCCCTGCAGTGAACCTCGCTGACATTCACAGCAGTAACACAAGTGATTTGTTGAGCAGGCATAGCCATGACACCTCGTTGCCTAAATCAAGTGCTATACACAAATCAAAAAAATTGCTCTACACTTAATAGGTAGGCGTCTATTATCTCCTCTATACGCCTAGCGAGACAGTTTTTCCTTGATGGTTGCTTCGATATACTTCAGTGCTAGTTTGGACATAAACTTTTTGACAGCACAAGACAAAACCTAATTTCTTTTCCAAACTTTATCACCCACGTAAAATTGGACTTCTCTTCTACTTAAGTTGTAACTCCTAGCGTTACGTTCATATCCTTTTCGAAGATTAGCCTTAACCTTTTCAAAAACTTTATCTAAACCTTTCACTTTTGAAGCATACATGTTACGGTCACCTGGAATTATCTCGATATCTTGATTTTGTTGATCCTCGAGATCAACACCATAATAGTTTTTACTTAAAGGAACATGTGGGCCATAATTCAGGAATGCTGGAGTATATCCAGTTACTTCATGCTTTGCAGTGTTAATAGCTTGTCTGATCTTTGCTAAATTCTTGTCCCAATCTGCGTGGTCTTTAACATACGTACGTATTGCTGTACCAATGGTTCTATTGTTCCTCTCCACAAAATTACACTGAGGTGCATATACTGGGCCAAACCATACTTTCTGAACGTATATCTATTAAAGAGCTCAATTAAGAGAGGATTGTTCAGATTTGAGGCATTATCACAAATCACATATTGAGGAACACCAAACATTAGGAAAACATCATTTTCCAAAAACTCAACAATATTCTTAGCCGTGGCACTTCTCAAAGGTTGGACTAAAGTATATTTACTAAACCAATCAGAAACTACTAATAACCACGTATAACCTTTCTTTGAACAAACAAAGGGACCTATCAGATCTATTGCTACTATTTTGAGAACAGACAACTGGAGATTTGAATGTAAACACAGACAAAAACATCTATATTTACTTTTGAATCGGTAGAAATACACGTATTATATTGACTATCTGACAATGTAACAGAAACAAAACATCTATGTGTTTGCCTTATCTCGTCAAAAAAACTTGAAATATTCTAGTTCGAATATCAAAATTTAAAACATACATTTAACTTCTCCGCCGAAATATAAAAAAAACTTACTACACCTTGAGATAAACAACCAGGGGCGTACTACAAAAATTTAAAACGCTACAATATTTGTTTGACATTTGTTGACAAAGTAATTCATATCGCCAGCAACGGAGCAACACAATTTTTGTGCTAAAAATTACAATTTTCTTTGAAATTCTATTTTTCACCTGAACTTGAAGACTTGCTATTGAAAAAAATGTTGTATTGCACACGACGATAAAACCGCACTATCGAGCATAATTAGCATCTCGACTGACGTCCCGACGCTAAAAAACGCTCTCGAAGATAAAGTACAATTTTATCGTCTTTTACAATAAATAACTATAAATCGGACAACAGGTTTAGGAGATATAAGACATCAAAAATTACACATTTTTAAGGTAGCCGGTTCATTTTGGCCCAAAATGTACTTTTAATCTTAATTTTATGATTTATATACTTACTTGAAGTATATACAGATAGTTCTTTACAGCCATTACTGTAGTAGATAATTTAATAACATGTCCAAATACTACATCTTTCAGGTCTACAATAATGTGAATTCCTGTAAAGGGACCCTTTTCGTGTAAATGAATTATACGTTGGGCATCCAGTACTTTGCACTGAGTGGGGTAGTGGTAATTTTCTGGATTTTCACCTGGTTTCAAAATAATTACGCTGTCTCCATTAGGGGCTTTTTTAGGAAGTATGACTACCAAACTAAAAAATGTGGTTTAATCCAAAGACAATAATATATTTTCACTACAAAACATAACAAATAGATAAAAAATTATCTTGCCCACGTACAAAATAATCACTTTTTGTTTAAATTTTTTATACATAATTTTTAAATAAGGCTACAAAAACCTTACTATTTTTTTTTATTTATATTTATAAACGGGAAGGTCCCCAGTAGGTGGCTGTATACCAAAGTTTAAAAAACTTACAGTGAAGTAAACACTTTTGGTGTAATTGGAATGTTTATAAAAAATTACTCTATTAAAATTGGGAGTAGAGTCGAGTTTTGCCACAAATATATCAAACGGCGTTTTATCTTAACCCTTACCGACCCATGACAAGATAAGGTTCTGCAGAGGAATACCAATGTCTTGTGTTTACTGTATTGGGGTTGCAAATGACATTCAATTTTTTTCAGAATTTTTTAAATTACTCTTGAGATGTTTTTCAGGCCCTCACAATTATGACCTTGGTTTCATACAAAATACCCTCACTATTTTGAGATAAGCACAATTGTATACTCTTGGACTTAAAAACTTAACTGAGTAAAATAAAGAAATAAAGGGGATATTAAAATATTTTATTCAAAAATATTGACAGCAGATATATTGAACAACTTAACATATAATGTAAACGTATATTACTTAAAACTTTCGCGTATGAAACGATTTGAAAACAATTTTCGGTTTTACTTTAACATAAGTAAACATAACATTTACTACAACTATGCGTGAACGACTTTAGCAAGCTTCGAATTCACAACAAAGTGGGTTTTTGTAAATCATCATTCAGAGGCCAATGTTGATAATAATCATCGTAATGTTTATCTTGTTCAGGTAATTTAACTAGAAATCGTTTCATTTTCTTTTGAGGATTTCCCAAACTCTCTTCATTTTCTACGTCTTCACTCATAAAATATAACATAAAATTTCGATTATTAATTTTGAATGCAAATATGAGGCATTTTAAATGTGCCAAAAACGCTGAACTTTCACATTACAAACGCTTTCACTTCACGAGAGATGCTTGCACGAAGGCGGCATTGGGTGGAATTTTTAGCTAAAGTTGTGTAGATTCGAAAAGCGTAATTGTGCAATCGAAACGAAGCAGTTTTAAATGTTTTAGAGCTTTTGTAATGTGAAAGTTTAAATTCAGCGTTTTTTAGGCATATTTCAAACGCCTCATACTTGTTGGTAAAATTCAAAACCGAAATTTCATGATATAGGTTTTGAAGATTAGGATCTAACAATGGAAATTATATAGTGACCGGTCAATGGAAGTGATAAATTTTAATGATTTCATGAGAATAGTAAAACAGCAAACATTGCTCAACGTTTATTTTTCTTAACAGCTTTATAGAAACTGACTTCTTTTGCGTCAAAAATTGAAAATTGCGTACGAAAGCTGCAATATTTACCTTTAAAATGCATTTTGATTTTTGTCGATAGGACACTCTAATTAAAAACTTCGAATTTTTACCGTCGAGCCATTTGAAAATCACTGATCCCTTCAAGAGTTGTTTCTGAGAGAACGGTTCATTCTACACAAAAAGTTCTAATTTATATTTTTGTTCAAAATTATCTCAACTACATTTTTTAGAATTCTTAGTTAAAATATTTTTTCTACGGCGTAGAAATTGTTGTTTGTAAATCGATATTTTCTGAACGCAACCCTTCGATGAGATTTTAGGGGGAAGCCCGGGGGTAGCAATGGCAAACTTTTTTACATCTTTTTTGGATCCTAAAAACTCGATTTTTGGAGTTTCAGTGCCATTTTCGTCTCTGACGACTGGAGTATAAATAGAATAAAATTTTTGGTACACTAATACAATAAAGAACAAGTTTTAGTTCGAAATATAGCTATCTAAAGTTTTGTTATTTTATACAAAGACATAATAATATATTTTCACTACAAAACATAACAAATAGATAAAAAATTATCTTGCCCACGTACAAAATAATCACTTTTTGTTTAAATTTTTTATACATAATTTTTAAATAAGGCTACAAAAACCTTACTATTTTTTTATTTATATTTATAAACGGGAAGGTTCCCAGTAGGTGGCTGTATACCAAAGTTTAAAAAACTTACAGTGAAGTAAACACTTTTGGTGTAATTGGAATGTTTATAAAAAATTACTCTATTAAAATTGGGAGTAGAGTCGAGTTTTGCCATAAATATATCAAACGGCGTTTTATCTTAACCCTTACAGACCGATGACAAGGTAAGGTTTTGCAGAAGAATACCAATGTTTTGTTTTTACTGTATTGGGGTTGAAAATGACATTCAATTTTTTTCAGAATTTTTTAAATTACCCTTAGGACGTTTTTAAGGCCCTCACAATTATAAGCCTTGGTTTCATACAAAATACCCTCACAATTTTGAGATAAGCACAATTGTATACTCTGGGACTTAAAAACTTAACTGAGTAAAATAAAGAAATAAAGGCGATATTAAAATATTTTATTCAAAAATATTGACAGCAGATATATTGAACAACTTAACACATAATGTAAACGTATATTACTTAAAACTCTCGCGTATGAAACGATTTGAAAACAATTTTCGGTTTTACTTTAACATAAGTAAACATAACATTTACTACAACTATGCGTGAACGACTTTAGCAAGCTTCGAACTGACAACAAAGTGGGTTTTGTAAATCATGATTCAGAGGCCAATGTTGATAATCATCGTAACGTTTATCTTCTTCAGGTAATTTAACCAGAAATCGTTTCATTTTCTTTTGAGGATTTCCCAAACTCTCTTCATTTTCTACGTCTCCAGTCATAAAATATGACATAAAATTTCGATTAATAATTTTAAAAACAAATATGAGGCATTTTAAATCTGTCAAAAAACGCTGAACTTTCACATTACAAACGCTTTCACTTCACGAGAAATGCTTGCACGAAGGCGGCATTGGGTGGAATTTTTAGCTAAAGTTGTGTAGATTCGAAAAGCGTAATTGTGCAATAGAAACGAAGCAGTTTTAAGTGTTTTAAAGCATTTGTAATGTGAAAGTTTAAATTCAGCGTTTTTTAGGCATATTTTAAACGCCTCATATTTGTTGGTAAAATTCAAAACCGAAATTTCATGATATAGGTTTTGAAGATTAGGATCTAACAATGGAAATTATACCGGTCAATGGAAGTGATAAATTTTAATGATTTGATGAGAATTGTAAAACAGCAAAAATTGCTCAACGTTTATTTACTTAACAGCATTTTGATTTTTGTCGATAGGACATTCTAATTAAAAACTTCGAATTTTTACCGTCGAGCCATTTGAAAATCACTGATCCCTTCAAGAGTTGTTTCTGAGAGAACGGTTCATTCTACACAAAAAGTTCTAATTTATATTTTTGTTCAAAATTATCTCAACTACATTTTTTAGAATTCTTAGTTAAAATATTTTTTCTACGGCGTAGAAATTGTTGTTTGTAAATCGATATTTTCTGAACGCAACCCTTCGATGAGATTTTAGGGGGAAGCCCGGGGGTAGCAATGGCAAACTTTTTTACATCTTTTTTGGATCCTAAAAACTCGATTTTTGGAGTTTCAGTGCCATTTTCGTCTCTGACGACTGGAGTATAAATAGAATAAAATTTTTGGTACACTAATACAATAAAGAACAAGTTTTAGTTCGAAATATAGCTATCTAAAGTTTTGTTATTTTATACTGTTGTCAAATATAGTTAAATTACGTTTTCTTTTTGCATATACGTAGAAAAATAGTTTTATTTTACTTACTTATTATCTGTAGTACGTTTAACTATAGGGTCTTTTAAAGATTTAAATTGAAACATATCAGGGTTCAAAGTATTGCCCGTAAAATATACATCTATTGCAGATTTAGCAGCTTCTATTTTATAAAAACAGCTATGCAGGAAACAAGCCATTATTAGCTCTGCAATAAAAAAGTGTAATTAATTACTAGACTTCGGCAAATATGCATATTGCATATTTTGCATATTGTGCATATTTTATGCAAATATTTCATATTTTGGCATATTTGTATAAAAGTTTGCATAAAGTGCATAAAAGTTCAGATTTTTATACTGTATTTGAAAATTTTTAAACATACCAATTTATTTCAATTCTTGTATAAAATTTTGTAGTCATTTTAATCAAGAAATGATCTAAGTACGTAATCTCTATCTAATGGTACAAAACATTTACAATTTCAAAGAAGATCAATTTAAGTAGCCCTCAACATTCTTAGAAAGTCTCGGTCACTGAGGCACTCAGTTATTGGATAATCGCTAAGGGTTCGCGCATTTGCATTTTATGATCTAATCCCCAAATCTATCTACAATTTATTGTATCTTAACAGCAGGTAAACGGCTAATAGTTTTGTTCCTAATTTAGGGATTTTCCAAAATCTCCCAGTTTGAGTTAGGTACCTAAACATTTCTAATTTGATGCTCAGATTTGTAAATCATTTTTGTTTTGATATTCAAAGCGTAAACACTCGTTGTGCGTAACAAAAAGGAAAATTGTGATTTTATAATGCCTAAAACAACCAGTGCTTCAACTTGGATTAAACCTTATAAAGAGCTGTCTATGGATATGGGAAAAATCTACTGTTCAGTCTGTGGCAAAATTGTAAGTATCTAATATTTTCTATTAAATATCTAATATTTCATACATACAGGGTGTTTCCAAATGACACTTACAACATTTGACTGTAGATACTTCTCGAAAAATTGAACAAAACGATATAGTTAATGAGGGGTCAAACTTATTTACTTTTCGAGATACAGGGTGTTAAAATTTAAAAAAATTAAATTCTTTTAGTTAATAACAGCAATAACTTTAAAACCAATAAACGTATTTACTTGAAATTTAGTACTCGTAGGTTGTTTTTAAATGAAAAATAGCTTCCTTTAGTGAGAAAAAATTGTCCATAGTATAATACAATGGTGTGTATTTAGAAAAAATTTTCACCTTTACTTTTTTTTATGAAGTCAGCTATTCTAAAACACAATTATTTTTATTGTAATTGAATTAACAAAAAAAAACTTTTGTTGAATTTTAAAATAAGTTAAATGATGTACTAATGGTTAGTAACAAAAACTAATTTGTGGATTAATACTGCATAATACTGCATAATACTCGCAAACACTTAGCGAGTGTTTTTTTTACAAACCAGTTATTTGATTAACCAAAAACACCTTGTATATTTTTATATTTTAAAGGTTGGGTTAAAATAAAGGTTTTTATTTTTATTTATAGATAGCATATGAGAAGAAATTTCAGATAGACCAATGTGCTTCACACATTGCAAAAAAATGAAAAATAGGAGGAAAACATCAAACTTCAGTGGCTAAATGTTTCCAATCTACTTCAAAAAAATTAGATGAGCAAGAAACTTTTAATGAAGACTTGTGTTGCGCATTAGTGTCTGCAAACATACCGCTTTCAAAATTAGCAAATGTAAATTTTAGTTCGTTTCTAAAAAAATATTGCAAACTTAATGTTCCAAGTGATCGGTCTCTAAGAAGAAATAATGTGAACGGGCTATACTCGTCGGTGTTAATTAATATTAAGGAAGAAATTGCAGATAATTATTTTTACATATCTGTAGACGAAACCACTGATTCCTCAGGAAAGTATATTGCTCATTTATTGATTGGGGTTCTTAAAGAAGATACCTTACCAAAATCTCATCTTATTTCATGCCAGCAACTTGAGAAAACAAATGATTTAACAATTTCGCGTTTTATACAAGAAACATTAGCAACTTTTTTTCTTCCGACAACTATTCTTTCTAATAAATTACTGCTTATTTTATCGAATGCTGCTCCTTATATGGTGAAAGCAGGACAAAATTTAAAAATATTTTTCCCAGATTTAATACATGTTACTTGTGTAGCGCATGGATTAAACAGAGTTGCAGAGGAAATACGAAAAAAGTTTCCTCTTGTAAATACCATGATATCCAGTGTCAAAAAAGTATTTCTTAAATCTTCTATAAGAATTCAACTTTATAAAGAAATGCTACCTAACATTCCTCTTCCACCATAACCTATTTTAACGCGATGGGAACATGGTTAGAAGCAGCTAATTTTTATGCAGATCATTTTGTTAAAATAAAGAACATAATTGATACGTTAACAGATGAAAGTTCCCAATCTCTTTTGGATTCTAAACAAACTTTTCAGAGTAACTTGCTTCAACAAGAACTTTCATTTATAAAATCAAATTTTAGTTTTGTTCAAAAAACAATTACTCAGTTAGAATCATCAAAACTGTCATTGTTCGAAAGTACAGCATTAATAAAAGAATTTGCGTCATGTTGTCGGAACGTTAGAGGTAATATTGGAAAAGATATTTTTAAAAAATTTGAAGCTACTATGGAAAAAAATAAAGGTTACCATATTCTTTCTGAAGTAGTCAGTGTTCTAGCTGGAAATATTTCGGAAACAATTAATTTAGAACCAAATGTTTTGGTTAGTTTGAAAAATGCTCCCGTTACATCAGTTGATGTTGAACGAAGTTTTTCCATATATAAATATATGTATTTAGACAGAAGCCACAAGTTTTTGTTAGAAAATTTTGAACACCAGTTGGTCATTTATTGTTACCATAATTCTAAATAAGTTTATTCATACTTAAAAATAATGTAGTTACTTAAAATAAATGTAAATCTTAATGAATAGTAGGAAATATTTAGTTATGTACACTTTTTTTTTAAATAAAATTGTTACTATTTTACGATTTTTTTATTTATTTGTATGCATATTTTGTAAAATATTTGCATATTTTCGGTTAAACACGTGCATATTTATGCGCATATTTTCTACATTTTTATTTGCATATTTGCCGAAGTCTATTAATTACTATTTTTGGGAGTTCCAAAGATACATACCGCTAACTTTTGGTAAATGTGCTTGTTTTTCTGCCCATTCCATTAACATATTGACATCTTCCTTTTTGAGTTTATCATCATTTTTATAGATTTCGTCAACATCGATTATTTTGAAATTCATTGTCGGTTGTTATGGATAAAGGTCTTGAACAACTAAAAGAAGAATTTATTGATCTATCAACTGTTTTAATAAAATAATCTACTTATTGCTTATTAGTGTTATAAAGTTATAAAAAGTTGATTAAAATTGATTAGGATAGAAATATATTATTTCATTAAGTACCTATTTAATTATAGTGTAAAGGTCATTAAAGGATTTAATAATAATCTGAAAAAAAAAGCGTAACAGAAGTTATACAGTTTATATGATCGTAGATATGTGGATACACGAATTGTAGGTTCTAAATATTTTTGTGCCGATATATTTATATAATTTCGGAAACATCTAAAAAAATCTTTTTTATTTTTAATTTTAAGTAAAAAAGGGGTCTGCATAGCCCGTATCCTAAAATGAAATCATGAGGATATCAAATGTTGTCAATTCACAGAAACGCCAGTTAACTTGGCGACGGAATACGCACAACGTCACTGAGAAATACATTATGTTTACGCCCCATGATTCTCCTATTGTTTACTATTTCTGATAAGTAGTTTCAGTGGCGTAACGTTATAGGTCAAATAATTATTACACAATTAACCCCCCCCCCCCCGACAAAAATTTCTGGGGATCAGTCACTGAAAGGTGTAAAAACTAAATCCTATATCAAAATCACCCTTAAGACCCATGACCTCCACCCTCCGACAAAAATGTCTGGATCCGCGACTGTTCTTAACTTCCATATAGTCAACTTGACATGCTTAGTGCAAACCTCACTTTCCCCAGAAGAATTTATAATTTTAAATTATTTTAGTGTATTTAGGTAATTACTTTTTTTAAAAACTTTGTTCTAAATAAATACCTGATAGAGACAATGATGACATGCTAATATCTATTTGTGCGTTAAGAACCAATTTCAAATTTTCAAGACGGTTACTTAAACCGAAATTATTTTGAATTACAAAATTAGACATAAAATTTGAATGTAGAAAGCGGTTTTTTCGAAAAAAAAAAATAGCAAGGAAAGTATAAATCATTAGTTAATAATTTTATATTGCACATAATGCATATATACAGGACTGTATAATCACAAAGTTCAAAAATCAATACATATACGATGTTATTTAGTAGATTAATACAACATGACTGTAAAAACTGATTAAATTTTTGTGTAAACGATATGTGTGATAAAAGATATGGCAGGAAAGACTTACCAATTTTTTTTATAAACAGACAAACAATAAACTAAACTGTGCACTAATTTTTAATTATGTAGACACGTTTTAAACATTTTAATAAATAATTAGTATACATAAAGAACATAACCTTCAAAAATTAAACAATTATAAGGTGGGGAAGAAAAACTGGTTTCTCAATATAGTTTGAAGAAAAATAGTAAATTTTAACAAATTCATTCTTTTTAGTGTGTAAAATACTTAGGGGAGAGCGGCACATGGGAAATACTCATGTGTTTCCCATGTGCCAAATACTACAATGCATAATAAATCAAAATAAATAAAAAGCACGGTTTCTGGTGTAAGTGGTAAGATGATTATATTATTTTGGATTCATGATGTAACCTTTGTTTTCGCTTAGAGGTCCATTTTAAGTCCCATTCTCTTTCTACTGTATCATACTTAACTTGTGGATATCAGTAAAATAAATTTCTTATTTTGATTATTTAAAGCTGCATTACTGTCCAGATATTATTAATACTCATTAAGATTTTAGTAGAAATTGTTATAATAATCCATTTGTGACATTTTTCAATAAAACAAGTACAGGGAGTTAATGATCTTAGTATTTTGATCAACCATAAGTTAACCTGGTGTATGCGAACAACTACAGATGTAGTAGTAATGCTAAAGCAAATTCTGCTTTATTCATATCTTGTTTCAAAAGTTTTTTATAGAATGTTTTCAGACTTGTTCTTGCAACTGTAAAAAAACGTCAGACCTTACCTAGAATTTGCAGTGTCGCTTTCTTAACCCCAACCGCGAAGAGATATTAGTTTAATAGAAAGCATACAAGTTACAGCTACTGAGTTTCTCAATAATTATGAAAAGTAAATATATGTACGTCAGGCCATGGAGATGGGTGTAGGTAGGGGATTCTAAGAAATTCTATGAAACGCATCTGGCGGAATATAAGAATCTTCAAATTGTTCTCTTTTTTCAGCTTATATTGAGTGAAATGTATTGATCTTTCATCTATCACTTTTCCAACGAAAAATTGCAGAAATGGATATGCTATGCAGGTATGTTACCCAGTCTATCACATAGACATATAATACAAGATACATTACAGTGCGACACAAAGCAGTGCCTGCATTTCTTTCTAATTTGCTAGGTTTATCGACCACGTGACCCAAATGACCAATGAGAAGGTCACGTGGTTGATAAACCCGGCCCATTAGACAGAGATACAGAGACTGCTTTGCCTCAGTTTTCTCTGTCGCACTGGGGCAACACGACTCTATTGCAGCAGTAAGTCTACCTTGTATTATATGTCTAAGGTTTATTAACCCTAATTCCTTGTTGTGTATATTTATTTTTTAGTCTATTAATAAATAAATTATTAGAAGAAACATCAAAATAACCTAAAGTCCCACTGCAGATTAACTACGTTCATAACGTAGTTAATCAAACTCACACTTTTACATGCATTTAAAATTAGAAGAACATATTATTTGATAATAGGTTGTCAGTCAAAAAGTGGTGCCGCAAATATTTTTAATTTAATTAATAGTAATTAATTTTTGTATTTTATTAATAGTAATTTATTTTTTAAATAAAATACGCATGCTATAAGTTTGCCTGAGAAAAAATGGTCAAAAATTATAGTTGTCAGGTATTAAAAACCTAACGAACCAAAGAAAATAAAAGACAGCTAGTGCTCAACGCTACTAGTTTGAAGTGTCGTTGAGCCTTAATTCTATTATACTTTAGTTTTGATACCTAGCGTTTTTTTAAACCTGCAACCCAAGGAACTAAAATATTTGTCAAAAACTAATTTCTATTGAAATAAAAATATTTGCGGAAACTTTTTGACTGGCAACCTAGTATCAATGTATTCTACTAATTTTAAATATATGTAAACATGTGAGTTTGATGAACTGTTATAAACGTAGTGATCCTGCAGTGGGGTCTTGTACTACAAGTAATTTTCTTCTTCTCTCAATACCTTATAGTTCCAATCCACATCACTAGAAACCCACCGATATTTTGATAATAAATTAATAAAGGAGCCGAGCTTATATATTTTATTGTGCCTAGTTTTTTTGTGCGGAATTATCATTTTTACAAATTTCAGGTATACCTTTAACATATCTTATAAATATATATTTCTCACCTTGCTCTTGACGTTTTTTAAGTTTAACTTTGTTGGGCTTATTGAGTTGCTAGGAAGTGAGATCAGAATTTATAAATATCGCTTTTGCTTTGACAACCTGAATATTATTTTTTTAAATATTGAATACATCAGAGATTAGATTCAAAATGGAAATGGCGCGGTCTACATTTATTGAGTTGAGATCCTCACTGTGCTGCAGTGATCTCAGTTTGGGAACCAAGTTGCGGATAGTGAGGTGCTACATTCTTCCAGTGTTACTATATGGAGTTGAAGTCTGGACAGAGGATACTAAAAATATCGTATGTGGACCATATCACCAACGTTGAAATCCTACAGCACAAGACAAAAGAAAAAATGAAGAAGTGCTTAATTTAGTGAAACAACGTAAGCTTGAGTACCTCGGCCACGTGATGCGAAACAAAGAAAAATATCGAATTCTTCATTTCGTTATGCAGGGTAAAGTATTTGGCAGAAGTGGATTAGACGTCGTCGTATTTCGTGATTCAAAAAACTTCCGACAATAGTTTGGGATAACCTCCGCGAAGCTGTTTCGCAGAGCAGCCAACAAAACCATGATAGCCTTGATAATCGCCAACATTCGGACCGGATTACACTAAAGAAGAAGAAGAATAAATCAGAAGAATTTATTAATTTAATTTTTAAGCAACGAGCACCATTTTTGTTTTGTTTACCAAATCTAACAGCTTTGACAACTTTTTTATCCTGTTGAGTAATCTCCTTGAAAATTGAAGTGACAGTAGCTAAATCATCTGAAACTGCGTTTCTTTTATTTACAGGTTTCCTTAGATTATGAATATTTAAGTTGTTTAGATTTTTTTTGTCTTTCAAACACCGCATTTAGAATATCTCCTTGGTTTTTAGAATTCTGCAATTTCATATTATTAACCTCGTTATACAGTTTTCAGTTAATTTGAACAGTTTTGGAACAGTTTCATGCTAGATTTACATTCTTGAATCTAATGTCTGATTAATAAAGGTCAGAGTAATAAGTATCTTTGTGAACTGGTCGTTCACAGCTATCACAATAAAGCATTTCTTATTCAGTCAGTAGCGCACCTAGAATTTTGCTCTGGGGAGGTTTTGGTTGGACACCGAAATATTTTTATGATACTACCTCCATTTTGTGTCCTTAAAACTTGTGAGTGTTGGAATAGGGTCCTGGGGGGTGTTTTAACCCCCAAACCCCCTGGGTGCGCCACTGTTTTCAGTACCATCTTTCCGCTTCATTTTCTGATTTAAAATCTTGAAAGTCGGTCCTGCACACTAAAAGTCTGCTAATACGCTTTATCACAGATACTGAACAAATTCTTGAGTGAATTATCCAAAGAAAAATTTTTAAAACGTGACTCATAAATATTGATTGTGCCATACTCGTAACACTTTTAAGCATTTTCTTTGTTCTTTGTTTTTAATGTTTTTAAGCATCACAAATAGAGCCAGTCTGTAGATATCTCCCCTATTTAAACGATGTGATTTTTTCCTTTACTTAGAGTATTTATGTAATTCTGATAATATTTTATCTTGTTATATAGGTTTTATTAAACTGTTTATTCGGGCTGTTGGGCCGTTGTCTTCTGTTGAGATTAGTTCTCGACGTTTCGCCAACACTAGGGGTTGGCATCTTCTGGAGATGTTGATGCTTCGCTTGTAAGCAGAAACTGACGACGCGTTGTACTACGGAGGCAATATTTATAATTCCCACTCGCCTCCCCTCCACTGGTTTCGGCTTGAGGGGGCGTGTCGTTGTTTATAGTAGCTTTTCTATCTCCGTGTTTGGCGGGAAGGGCGTTTGTGGATTTTAATACTGGTATCCATGTTTTGTTGATTTTTAGTCCTTCTTCTATCCTATTGAAATTGTTTGGGTGCTTGTATATTTCCACCGCTTCCCGATATAACCGTGGGTAGTACTGTGAAGTTTTGTCCAGCATCTGTGTTTCTTCAAATAGTATTCGATGTTCTCCGCTTCCCAAAGCGTGTTCGGCAACGGCAGATTTGTCGATATGTCCTAAACGACAATGGCTTTTATGTTCATTTATCCTGGTGTTGGTGTGTCTTTTTGTGGTTCCCACATATACCATTCCACATGTGCATGGTATTCGGTATACTCCGGCCGTTGCTAATGGGTCGCGTTTGTCTTTTACCGATCTTAAACAATCCTTGATCTTCCTTGTAGGTCTGAAGATGGTCTTTATGTTGGCTTTCTTGAGTATTCGCCCAATTCTGTCCGTTACCCCCGATATATAGGGCAAGAACGCTTTCCCTTTACATTCTGTTTCTTCGTCCCTTCTTCTAGATACGTTGTTCATCGCCTTGTGTATTTCTCTTCTGGTGTACCCATTAGAGGTGAGCGCTTTTTCAATATAAAGAAGTTCACTTTGGAGATGTTGTGGTTCACAAATTCTCTTCGCCCTCTCTGCCAAAGTTTTGATGATACCTTGTTTTTGGCTAGGATGATGATTTGAGTTCCTGTTTAGGTATCTGTCTGTGTGTAGGTTTTCGATACACTTTATGTCCTAAGTGACCTTCCTTTCGATTTACTAATACATCCAGGAACGCTAGTTGTTGAGCTTTTTCTGTTTCCATCGTAAATTGAATATTTGGATGTAGTGTATTTATATAAGCCAGGAAATCGTTTAGTTTTTCTGCTCCGTGACCCCAAATCACAAAGGTGTCATCAACGTATCTGAACCATACCCTAGGCTTGTATGCTGAGTCCATTATCTTCTTCTCTAAATGCTCCATGAAAAGGTTGGCTACGACCGGGCTTAGTGGGCTTCCCATTGCTACTCCATCCATCTGTTCATAAATTTGGTCTTCCCATGAAAAGTATGTGGTAGTTAGGCAAATACGGTATAATTCCACCATATCCTTGGAAACTAGTCCCTCAATTAAATTCAGAACGTCTTCTAGGGGGACTCTTGTAAATAGGGAAACCACATCAAAAC